CTGATTCCGAATGCTCGACATAGCATAAGAATGAGTAAGAAGGAAATGAAGACATAAGCTTCAACCAAAAGCAAGTCGCACGACAAGGAATCAAGAAAGGAAAGCTATCCTAACAGCCCTATAACCTCTCGAAGATAAGTACAGACGTCTCTGTACCTATCCGCAAGACTCTACTAGACTTACTCATGACTCGTGAGACCTAAGTGAATCTAATGCTCTGGTACCAAGCTGTCACGACCCAATTCCCACTATAGCCGTGATGGCACCCAACATCTCTGTTAGGCAAGCCAATAGTGAACCATCCATTTAATTATTCATTTTACTACCTTTAAAATCATGGTTGTTATTAAATAAGAAAACTAACGCATTAGAATGTCTACTAGATATTCCCACAACCCTGTGTCACAAGTACACGAGCATCTACCAGGGAGTACAATAATAATACAATATCTTTCTAGAATATAAGATAGACATGATAAAGTAAATAAATATAATAGAGACTCTGTGTGTGCGGGTCGTAGCATGGAATGTAGCTCACTATAAAGTCCCCTCAGCAGCTGCACCTATGCACCAAGTGACCACTAAATGAACCTCTCAGAACCTGCACCATTAGTGCAGAAGTATAGGATGAGTACATAATTCAACGCATCCCCAGTAAGTATCTAGCCTAACCCCGGAGAAGTATTGACGAGGGATCGGTATCGACACTTACTAGTGATCTAATAAATCAAGTATAATAATAGAAGTAGACAGGTACGAAACATGGCAAGTAAGAATGGTGAAAACAGACATAAGTACATAATACGATCCTCAACTGAACAGTAAATACAAGGTCCTCAAATATCGGATACTACCTCAAATGGAATACATAACGGTCGACACCAGGTAAAACGTCACGTCTCAAGTCAAGAAAACTCATGGATACACTGACTTCTTATCAAATATCACACACGATTCTGCCGATGGGAGCGACCCGATCCCATAAGAGTGTTTCATTGAACTACCGAGGCGAACGGCCCGATCCCATAAGAGTGTGTTACAAAATCCTGTCAAGACGAACAACCCAATCCTATAAGAGTGTATTACAATAATCCTGCCGAGGCGAACGACCCGATCCCATAAGATTATGATACATAATACTACCGAGGCCAACAACCCGATCCCATAAGAGTATGGTATTGTGAAAAGGCGAACGGCCCAATCTCATAATGGTGCTGCTAAGGCGTTCAACCTGATCCCATTAGAATAAGAAACTTTAACGGGCCCTAGACCCCACTCACGAATATACATTTGAGTTATGAAATTTAAGGAAACTTTCTGATGAATACGCACAATGCGAGAGGAGTCTGTAAGAGAATTTACAATTTTCCACGGCTAATCAAGTAGCTTGTCAAGTATCTAAAATAGCAAGTCCAATATTCTACGCGAGTCTAGTCTCGGGCTAAATGTAAACTAAAGCAATTAAACATGTAAGGACAACTCAATTATTGCAATTAAATCATGGCGCGAGTCTAAGTCTACCCGGACCTAATCGGGAATTCTAGCGTACGCACGGACAATCATCACCTCATACGTGCGTAGCTCCCACAATATGTAGCACATAACAAATATAACACCTACGGGATAAATTCTCCCTCACAAGGTTTGACGGGAGACTTACCTCGCTCTGAGATCCGATAACCGGCTCCAACGCCTCTCTAACTCCTCAAACTAATGCCGAACAATCCAAAACTAATCAAACAGCGTGCAAACCAATTAAAATATACTCCAATACTCGTAATTTAACATTTTATAAATATTCCTAACTCTACTCGAAAAGTCAACATGGTCAATCTCCGGGTCCACGTGCACGGATTCCAAAATTTTTTGAAGATAAACATTACCCATAACACCACGAACTCAATTATATAATTTATTTCTAATTCCATGTCCAATTGCATGGTCAAAATCTAAATTTACCATTTCTAGGTTTTCTTCCAAAATCCCACAATTTCTACAAATTTTCATGTTAAAATCCATATAATCCATGTATTTAACTCACAATAGATAGGAATCACTTACCACATGATAGATGATGAAAATCTTCCTTTCAAGAGCTCCAAAAATCGCCCAACCAAGTGAAAATGTGAGAGAAATGGGCTAAGTCCCGAAATAAAAATGCAATCTACCCAGACGCCATTATTCGCGATCGCGAAGTCCAAATCAGCTTGCTCAGAATTACCTCTTCGCTAACATGGGATAGACTTCGCGAACGTGATACATAGACCCCCAAGCCTACGCGAACGCGAGCCAAGCTCCGCGAATGTGAAGGCAAAACTATCAGCACCAGCAACTAACTCTTACGCAACCGTGAAGTTACCTGCGCGATCGCGTAGCACAACTCTATCAACAAGCCAGCCCCAAATTCCACATCGCGTTCGCGACACCACCCACGCGAACGCGTAGAAGAACCTGACCACATTCCGCGATCGCGATCCTCTTCAGCGATCGCGAAGAACAAAATCTTTGCCAGCCCAAACTACTCTTCGCGATAGCTTCTTCGCGATCGCGATGGCTTCTTCGCGATCGCAAAGCACACGCATGACACCAGAAATGAGCAATCACCAAAAAAAGGAAAATGGTCCAAAACCATCCCAAAATATACCCGAGGTCCCGGGGACCCCGTCCAATCACACCAACAAGTCCCAATAATTTATCCCAACTTATCCAAAGGCTCGAAATGCCACGAACATCATCAAAACAACGAATCGACGATCAAAATCCTTCTTTTAACTTTCAAACGTTCAAACTTTGCTGGACGCATCCGAATCATACTTAAACATTCCATAATGACGCCAAATTTTACGAAAAAGTCATAAATCACAATACAAACCTATTTCAAGGCTTGGAGTTCCAAACGGACATAAATAACACCAAAGTCCAAGCCAAATCAAATTGAGAAAATTCTAAAACCTTCAAAATGCCAACTTTCAACAATAAGCACCGAAATGCTCCTAGACCATCCGATACTCAATACGAATATACGTCCAAGTTCAAAATTATTATACAAATCTATTGGAACCTTCAAATCCCGATTCTGAGGTCGTTTACTCAAAAATCAAACCTTGATCAACTATTTCAATTTAAAACTTCCGAATTGAGAATTATTCTTTAAAATCATCTCCGAACTTCCCAAAAATCGAAACTAACCATGCGTGCAAGTCACAATACATAAAGTGAAGCTACTTAAGGCCTCAAACTCTCGAACGACGTATTTAGAGCTCAAAACGACCGATCCATTCGTTACACATGATAAGATGTTCTTTCGTTTATCTAAAAGATAAAAAGGTATTGTTTTCTTACCCAAAGGATAATACTATTCGGTAATTTTATTCTTTTAGAATGTTATAATCCATAAATTGACGGTCACCTTTTACCTTACAAATATCTTTGTAGTGAGTCGCTCATTTTGGATGTTAACTTTAGGTCAGGGGAGTCATTGTTTCATTCAAAGGTTAAAAGGGTATTTATTTCCAAATTCAAAAACTAAATAGGTCAAGTGTAATTTATTCCATAAAAATTGATGGAACTTTTCCTTCTGCATGTTTGACTAGAATTGGACTAGCATTGAGTTTGTCATTAGTCCAATAATCTAGTTGGGACCAATAATTATATCGATCCATGTTAATATAGATAGATACTACTTGAATTTTATCCAGGGGCGGACCCACGTGTAAGGTTCTGGGTGCTGCAGCACCCACTGACCCCGACGGTGACTCGGTATACTTATATATAGATTTTATGAAAACTGGTATAATATATGGGCAAGCACCCATTAACCAAAAAGTCTAATGGGTGCTTTGGTTTGGAGGTTGAAGTTAAGCCGCTTGGTATTCCAATGTTGCGAGATCGATTCCCGCTTGCAATATTTTATTTTTCAGAAAAATAATACTTTTTCTTATTTTATAAAGCGTTGACTCCCTTGTTTTCTAATCCTTTTCAATGCTGACTTATAACTTACCTCTTCTTTTACTTTTTTTTTTGTCCTTTTTCTATTTCCTCTTATTTACTAATTAGAAGATGAAAAGGAGAAAAAGAATCCTCCACTATTTAAAATATTGGTAGGCTTCCAAAAGACACCAAACCAAAAACGGCTAAATCATAGAATCCTTCTCGGTTGCTCCAGCTTTCGCAGTAAAGAATTCACAGGATACATAGTGATTAGAAAATTTTTTTGACCTCCCCATCTCAAAATTAAAACACAAGGAACAAGGTAATAAGATTTGGTATTTTGATTAAAGCTAAAGTTTTGTCCTGGTTGGTTTAAGGGTCAACATTCTAAGTGGTTGGAGTACAGTATATCAAAAGATGATGCATATTGTTTGTGTTTCTATTTGTTCAAAAATGAACATGAAAGTCACGGAAATACGGGAGATGCTTTTACAAAAAATGGGTTTAAAGCTTGGAACAAGGCTATTGAAAGATTTTAAGCTCATGTTGGAGAAGTAAATAGCATCCACAACAAGTATTTTAATAGGATACTTGATTTAATGAATCAATAATTTGCACTTCTTTTGACAAATAATCCAAGAAAGAAAAAAGTGATTTTCGACGTCGATTGAGTACTTCAATCGACGTGGCAAGATTTCTTTGGAGACTAGGTTTGCCATTTCGTGGGCATGATGAGAGTCAATCTTCTACAAATAGAGGTATCTTTCTTGAACTTTTGCAATGGTATGAAGATATTGATCGGGATGTTGGAAGCATTATAATAGAAAATGCTCCAAAGAATGAAATGATGTGTTCTCCAAGTATTCAAAAAGATATTGTTGATGCTTGTGCTAAAGAAACAATCAAAGCTATCATTGAAGACCTGGATGGGGATTTTTCGGGATACTAGTTGATGAATCAAAAGATATATCACACAATGAATAAATGGCATTGATTTTTAGATATGTTAACAAGGAAGCGAAGTAATAGAGAGATTTATTGGTATTGTTCAGGTTAGTAATACATCATCTATGTCATTGAAAAAGGCAATCTGCTCCTTTCTTTCTGACCACTCATTAAGTCCAACGCAAATACGTGGGCAAGGTTATGATGGGGCTAGTAACATGCAGGGAGAGCTAAATGGTGTTAAGACTTTGATTATGAATGAGTTTCCATTAGCATATTACATTCACTGTTTTGCTCACCAATTACAATTAACACTTGTGGCTCTTGCAAAGAAGCATTCAGATGTAGATGACTTTTTTTGTATAGTTGCTAATGTCTTAAATATTGTTGGAGCATCTTTTAAGCTCAGGGATTTGCTTCGAGAACATCAAGTTGAAAAGTTAGAGGAGTTACTCAAATCAGGTGAAGTGCATACTGGACGAGGATTAAATCAAGAACGTGGGCTTCAACGACCAGGTGATACTCATTGGGGTTCTCATTATAAAACATTGGATAACCTTATTGTCCTATTTCCATCAATTATTCATGTTCTTGAATTTACTGCACGTGAGTGTCCAAACTATGCCGATAAAATTATTGTTGAAAGTCTTATGGGTAAGATTAAGGAATTTGATTTTGCTTTTATGTTACACTTGATGTTAAAAGTTCTAATAATGACAAATGAGTTGAGTTGTGCATTACAAAGGATGGATTAAGATATTGTCAATGCTATGGGACTCCTTGCTCTTACAAAGCAACGATTACAAACGATGAGGAATTGTGAATTTGAATCTTTGATGAAAGATGTCTCTTCTTTCTGTGATAAACATGATATAATGATTCCAAAGATGGACGCTCTCTACTTTCCTGGGAAGTCGAAGCGTAGAGATCTTGATGTTACATATTCTCATCATTTGCGTATTGAAATTTTTATGGTGTTATAGATTTACATTTTCAAGAGCTTAACCGTCGCTTTGATGCTGTGAGTACTGACTTACTCCAAGGTATGGCTAGTTTAAACCCAGTTAATTCATTTGGTAATATTGATAAGAACGGGTTAATGAGGTTGGCTGAATATTATCCGAATGAGTTTGATAGCAGCAAGCTTCGAGATCTTAGTTGTCAGCTTGATAGTTTTATAGTTAATGCCCGTGGTGTTGACAAAAGGTTCTTTGGCATGAAGGGAATTAGTGGCCTTGCTAAAGTGTTGGTTAAGTCAAATCTGCATCAAACTTGGCCGCTTGTTTATTTGCTTATTAAGTTAACTCTCATTCTTCATGTTGCTACAGCTTCTGTGGAACGAGCTTTCTCATCCATGAACTACATCAAAAATGAACTTTGTAACAACATCGGTGATGAATTTTTAAATAATTATTTAATTTGCTATGTAAAGCGTAAGATATTTTCAAGTATCAGCAATGATGTTATTATTCATCGTTTTCAACATATGAAAAGTAATCGAGCACAATTGTGAGTTATGACTAAAAGTCCCTTTTTGTAATGATAACATTATTACTGTGACTTGTGGCTAGAAGTCATTTTTGATAATGACAATAGTAATAGTATTTTTCTTATTAACTTTTTTCACTGCCCCATTCAAATAATTTGTACTTATACTATATGATTGTTTGCACCTTTATATTAAAAGAAAATGAACACCCACGACCTTAAAATCCTGGATTCGCCACTGATTTTATCTAGTCTGACCACATATACCATTTGACCATGTGGCTCATGTCTTTGATTTTAAATGTCTTGACAATGAAGGATACTAATTATGACACATTTTATGGTAGACTTCCATAAGTTGCATTATTTTAGAAAATTTAGTTATAGTATAGGAAAAAAATATAGAAAGTGATTTCTCAGATTATTACGTAGCAATATATTCCAGTTCCAACAAAAGCTATCATCAAATAAGATTGAGATTGTTCAAGCGATCGACTAATCTCAAGCAACTGATAATAGTAAGATAATATTTCTTTTCAAAACAAGATTAATTAAACTAAAAATATGTTTAACACATACATTATTGAAGTGTTACATTATCCTCCACATACACATTGATGAAAAAAGCATCTACGCTCCAAAGGACATTTTGGTATTCTTTCTACGCAATCTTGATCATTGTTACAGACCAACAAAAAGTCACAAATGCACACGTTGCTTATACACTTTGGTAGAAATTTCACCTTGCAAATAGTCAAACAATCGTCATCATTGTCACAATGTGTCGTAACTACATTCCTTGCTTCAATCCCAAATGACGAACCTAATCAAAATGATATTTTAATTATATCAAAATGAGAATACATCATATGAAATACATACAAAATATGAGTGAATAAAATAAAATATGAGCAAATACATACGCATATATAGTCGTGTGTGCGCATATATATCTAGTGTACATAGGTGTGTGTATACGTAGGTGTATATGTTGTATTTGTGTACATGTGTGCAAATATTAATATATGAATGCATGTGACAAAGGATAAAAATTTTAATGTTACAAGTTGTGTAAGTATCTAGATCATTGAGATTTGACAAAAAAAAATTAGGAAATTTACTCCCTTTTTGTTGTGAAAATAGCCTAGACAATGCGATGAGTTTCATGCCTTAAATGCACATAAATTTCTTGAGAAAAATATCAACAAAGGAGATGAAGAAATAAAATAATCATAATTACCACTATAAAAGAGAATAGATCAATTTCTTATTTTTTGAAAAATTGAAACCATCTTCGTACTAATAGATATTGATTATTTTCTTCACTACCAAACATTTCAACTAACATTTTCTGTTTGATGAGTTTATAGGAAAGAACTTTAATGAAAATGTTGATTCGAATATTTTTATTTCAATTAAATGACATGTTAATGATTATTTTTGTCTCTAGAAAAGGAATGATATCAACTAGTCAATAATATTATGAAAGCTTAGATTACATACTGCAAAATCACTTAGTCAAATGAACAAGTTATACAAGAACACAATATTAGGCAAGTAGCTAAAAGAATCAATTAGAACTCTAATTTGGTAAAAAGACAAAAGGAGAGAAAAAGAGGAAAGAAAAACTCTACGTGATATATTTATTAGTTTGGTATAAATAGTAATTAATTATGTATATATATATTTCTTTCTATCTATAGTGGATAATATAAGGCATTCCTTTCTGAGTATAGCTTAGAGTGAAAGGTAAACATAAGTTTCCGCTCTAATAATTGCAAGGTCATTAGAGATATAGAGTTTCAAATCTAACAAGATCATCTGTACTATTTTTGCCTTCTTTGTATTCACAGACATATATATATATATATATATATATATATNACTCCGCCTTATTGCGTCTGCTGAAACAGTGGGGTTTAAGGTACCGCTAACACCAGTGTGGATAATCCGTTCTATCGTGGGAGGAAATAATCCTAAACCTCGAGTACTAGGAGGGGATTAAGTTCTTAAGGACACACTGTGAATTCAGTGGGCTCGAATTTAATTTGTTCTTCTTATGCATTTCTGTTTCTCTTTTACTTTACAAAATTTTCTGGTTTTGAACATAGGTTACCAACATTCTTAAGGAACTTAAAGGAAATCAGTTGATAGAGAAGAAAACCAGTGTGGTAATATTTGTTTGTTACTGCTGAGAGAAACAAAATAAGTGATGGAATAGAAAGTGTAGTTTTCTCCTACTCGTGCACTTTATCGCCAATATATGGTATGTTCACTTCAACAGTAGACTAACATGAGAACATTTTGAAATATAACGGTGGCAATCACTGGTTTAATTTATTACATGATTTGAAGACAAGGCAAAAGTATTGCCTTGTCTAACATTGGATTCACAAGTATTAAGTATTTGAAGATTGCTAAAGCATAATCAAAATTGTATTGACGTGGAAAACCAATATCTCATGGTTCATGAATCAGTGAGTGGCAAGGGGTGTGAATTCAATGGGATTTTCAACCAAAATGGAATGTCGTTGTTGATAATTTCCAATTCACATAAAAGTTGTCTTGTGAATTGTGATGATGGAAAGCCGAGCAGTGATTGTAAGTAAACTTTGTTGCGGCCATGTAACGTTGGGCGTACACCGCAAAATCGGAAAAGTTGCAAAACGGCTAAGTGAAATTGAAGGAATAATATTTCAAAAGGAATTATGTCCCTATATAAATATGATGGTTTTGATATCTCATGGGAACTCTGTCATGTAGTTTAGGGAAATCTCCTGACATGGACATATTAATGCACAAATGTGGGATCATGCACTTTGTGATATGACGTTCACAAAAGAATCTAGTTAGATTCTTCGGATAATTTTTTTTTGTGGTCACTCAACTTTGTTTCAATTTCACAAAAGTCACTTAATTTTTGTTTATAACGTAAAAGTCATTCAACTTTGACTACATCACTTAAAAGTCACATCTGATGGAATATGAATATATCAACACCGGAAAAATGACATGGCAAACTTTTAGTTATTTTTTATGCCACGTGAGCAACCACATAGGATTTTAACAACGAATTAGATAATTTAATACATGTTGTGTCGGTTCGTGCTTGGATGTGAAAAGTCGTAACCATAATTTTTTTCCTTTAGACGTACTAGATAGTTGTACATGAATTATAGCATGTTTGGCCAAACTACTAAAATCAGCTTATTTTAAGAAGTGTTTTTTCTTTAAACTGTTTTTCTCAAAAGTATTTTTGATGATAAGCAGTTTGTGGTTGACTAATTAATTTAAAAAATACTTTTGAGAAGTAATTAGTGTTTGGCCATACTTTTAAAAAGCACGTTTATGTGTATTTTTTCTCAAAAGCGCTTTTCAAAAAAGTGCTTTTGGGGAAGAACCTATTTTTTCGTGCTTCTTCTTAAAAGTATTTTTTTTCTTCCAAAAGTTTGACAAACGTACACTTAAACATTGGGGGAAAAAGCATTTTAAAAAAAAATAAAAATACAAGTTTAGAGAAGCTTGGCCAAATAGGCTATTAATCACATGGATTACAAATGCAAGTCATAAGAAAGTTCTTTTAAATTCATGTCATTCTAGCAATATTTTAATAAGGAATACCCACAAATACGGGCAGCCCAAGACGACAGCTTAAACAAAAGAAAGACACAAATATACCACATGGTATCCTATGTGTTTGCTCACGTGGCATAAAAAATAACTAAAAGTTTGCCATGTTATTTTTCCGGTGATGATATATCCATATTACATCAGGTGTGACTTTTAAGTGATGTGGCCAAAATTGAATGACTTTTAAGTTATAAGCGGAAGTTGAATGACTTCTGTGAAGTTAAAACAAAGTTGAGTGACCACAATCGAAATTACCCCTTAGATTCTTGATCCGAATTGTGAATTCCCAAGTTGATTTTGAAAATTAAAATATTAATATGAATTTGTTCATCCGACGTTGGACTACAGGTAGAAGACCCACAATTATCTGAACGGTAAAGCACTAGCGAAAACCTTGTAAGGGGATCAAACATTTCTGGTCCGGAAAGTCGTAACGTTTGGATACAATTTTTCAGTAAATTGTATTGTCACAAGTTTTTTACTAATAAGTGTGCACAAAATTGTGCTTATGCTTGCGAGGCTTACACTAATACTTGTAAGTATGCGTGAGATATTAAAATACTATATGTAAAGATATACATATGTTAGTGTGATAAGAATAATATATCAAACTATTGAAATATTTAGGGGTTTCAATGGTTTTGTTGGAAAGCTATTTGAAAAGAAAATTAAAATACTTGTGATTTTCTACCCCTATTATAGAGACTAAAATCTTCGTAATTTTCTACTTCTGTTTTGTAATTAAAATCTGCATGATTTTTTACTCGTTCGTTGAGATTAAAGTCTTCGTGACTTTCTACTCATTTGTCGGAAATTAAAGTCTAAATGACTTTATACTCGTTTTGGAGATTAAAATCTTAGCGATTTTCTACTCCAATTTATTATTCGATTTGAAGATTAAAAACTTCATTATTTATTAATTCTGAACGTGTCATATTGGTTTGAAGATTAAAAAGTTCATCATTTAATAATTCTGGCTCTGTCGTGACACAAACAGTAGTTCTTGTGGTTGGCTCAACAACGTAATAGGGGCATCGAATATGAATCTCCTTTTGAAGAAATATGTTTGGATATGAAATTATTCACCAAACGGCCGCCCCTTAGTCACCGCAATCTAATGGAACTGCGGAAAGAAAGAATAAAACGTCAAAGGAGACGATGAATGCCTAGTTGATAAGTTCTAGTTTACCTAGAACTTGGGGGGGGGGGGAGGGGAGCTATTTTTACAGTTAACCGAATATTCAATCGAGTTACCCACAACAAAACGCAATCTATTCCATATGAAAAATGGAAAGGACAGAAACCAACTTAAAATATTTTAAACTGTGGGGGGTGCTTGGCTAAAGTGCAAGTTCCTAAACCCAAAAGGGTAAAGATCGGATCGGAAATTATTGA